ATTAAACAAAAAACTATATCGAAAAAAGCCTAAATCATAATAGTATAACAAAATATATAAAAATAGAGAAACGCACAGACACAAGAAACGTTTCATTGATTGTTTAGTAACAATTAACTGAGCAGCATTCAGCCTAAAACAAGGGAAAAAAGCATAATTGACGTTTCTACAGTAACGTTCAGCGCAGGCGATGAACACTTTTTCAAGTGACGAGCAGAGCACGAAAAACGATATTTTTGCTCAGAATAGTAGGTTTTTTGAAAACGCTCGTACATTACGGCCGTATTGAACTTTAATTGGATTGGATCAAAAATTTTACTTTAGCTTTGTAGGAATGTATCTCAGAGATTAATTTTGGAGATCGTTCCTACATGAGTTATAGCAGTATAATAGTTACTACAGCAATCTATAAAACTGAGATTCTTGATCTTAGAAACCGTATAACGCCATCGAAAATGTTTAAAAGATAAATCTCTCAGTTCTGCTTCCAGCTAGTGTCAGTAAAATATTCAGCTCGATCCGATTAAACTTTGGTGAAGTCATAATATAGTACACCTTAACTGGAAGTGTTAGTACTTTGAGCATGACAGGTAGCATTTGACAGGCTACTTTTTCAAGGTAATTGCGACGATTCTTATATCTGCGCAGAAAATCCTTGAAAAATTTTGTGAGATGTTTTATTCTGAAAAGAATATTTTGTGCTAACAGACTATGTAACAGAAAAAAGTCGGAAGACACTGGAACAGAAAGAAAACTTGGGCTTGTCTCTCTTTCGGTGGGTAGAGACAGTATAAAATTGCTGATGCAACTGTTGTTGTGATGCAACTGAACTTTGCATCATAGATAAAAAACCTTAAAACAAAGAGTGATCTCGAAAACGCCAAGGATTCCAAAACCGAGGTGTTTTGCAGAAAATGGTTTGCAGAAAGGTTTCCAAAGTCACTTGCAAAAACCCCAAGGCTTTCGTATTAGAATTCCAAAAACTTAGAATTAGTTTCCGAGAAAACGCTGTTTTTTTAGAGTGTTTAAGCTAAAGAATCGGCCCACTTTTTTTTTTGCTCGAAATGGTCTTGTGACTAGCAGAAAACCAGGAACATTCGATTTTAGGTGTTTTCGAGTGGTTAAAGCCTTTCCATCCCGATAGGATCTTCACTTGGAAGCGACCATTATGGAGCACTATTAAAATCCTTCTCATGCGCTTTTGGCACTATAGGAGCATATAACGAAATCAACTCATAATTAGAAAGTTTCTTGTTCTTGTTGTTGTCATTACTTTCTCGCTTTTATGTTGTCGTCGTGTATCGTTTCTATACACGTATTCTAGTGCTGTCCTCTGCCCTCAGTCAATTTATGTTAAGATGTAATGAGTTCGTCTCCTTCTTCTGGTAATTTGTACTGATATTTTCAACATTTCTTCTAAATAAATAAAGTTTATTTCAATTAGAAAGCTCTTTCAATTCTCTACAAACTGGTATATTCAAAATATCTCCGTCGATTTGCAAAAGATCATTAAGTTCGACATAACAAGTATGACTAGAGAAAAATGCGACCTGGAGATCATTAAGCCAATTTTTTTCGAAAAAACGAAAAAAAACATTTTATAGCTCCGTTTTATAGCTCTTTCAATTCTCTAAAAACTGGTATATTCAAAATATCTTCGTCGATTTGCAAAAGCTGGTTTTTAGCTTGAGTTTATTTGATACAATATTGTATCATCGTCCTCGTCCGATGAATTCTCGAAATCAGAAAACTGTAAAGCATCTTCTGCACGATTAAGATAATTATTTTGTGGTTGATTAATGTCTTGGATAGCCGTCTGATTCAAGGAAAGGTGCCACAAAATGGCAGCGATGTGACTGCAACAACCGACTGTTCGTTCGCCAGCTGTACAAGTACAAAATCATCCGGAAATTGGCTTTAGAATGCTGTTGTTATATTCAATATATGTGTTATATACCGTAGACCTAAGGGTTTGGACCAAACCATTTTTAGCTGTACATGGCGGCTTCTGATAGAAATGGACATCGTTTCACTCTTACGATTTGCATATTCCAATTATTAACTTCTGCACAAGCGCTTCATTTCAAATACATTACCTACATCATAGAGACGGTAACCGAAATGAGATTGGACAGTTAATTTTATGGTCTGAACGCCCTTAAAGTTAACTTCGAGTTAACTCTGAAAAAATAATAGTCTGTACAAGGCCTTATCTTCAAGCTGTAGCGAGTATGATGCCTCACTTTAATCATACTCAAGCGAAACTGTCCCAATTAAGGGACAAAAAGCACATTTTTTAACATAGCTCCTCAGTAGGTTCTAGTTGAATGGAAAATAAAATATTGTCTTCACAGCAGTATGATACACGTGCAGCCAAATTTCCTTCTCCAAGTTTATTCGTAGACAAAAGGATCCGTGGAATGTGTGATTCGATACCACTACCTTATGTTTTGCAAGGCAGTGCCTTACGGTATCTTATAATACCTTAATCGGCACTAGGTGCTGGTTTTTCTCTGTTGGTCCCAATACCCGCCACATCTATGCTAACGGTTAGTGATTTCAGCGCCTAAAATTTCAAATGATAGTCTGTACTTCAAGTCTAATTGGGCTTTACAGTTCATCTATTAAAGACAATTTCATTTGGTTTCATTGATAGATCTTTTCTTTTCTTATCTTTTCCTAGTGTTCCGATGTTTCAAAATTAAAAAATGCGAAAAATAATACACATACACAAGTAAAAAGCAACAATAACAACACCTGATTAATTTTTTTTGTTCTTCTTATAGCGACAAAATTCTGATTCATATAATGAGCATATAGACAGCACAACAACAGAAAAAGAAAACTACAGAAAAAAGACAATCACAAAATGTAATAACGCATTTGTTGTCAATTAACAAATGATGCAAGTTCTAAAAAAAAAAGTACACAAAAAAACAAGAGAAAAAAAAATTATTCTGTTTTTCGACTAATGTATATCACTGTGCAGAGAAACAACAAATATGCATTTTATTGCTCTCTTGTACAATCTGACATAAAGATTGAACGAAACAAATCACTTTAGAGCGATAACATAAAAAAAAGAGGAATGGACACACTAAGACAAACGTTTATTGTTCGAAAATAGGAGAAGTTTTTCGAGGCGGATGAAATAAAATAAAGTCACATGGAATTGTTCAAACAGAAAAAATGCTAAAAATGATGCATACTGCGATGAAAAAGAACTGTTTGGAGAGAAGACTACGATATATCGTGAAGGGACAGACACCAAATTAAAAATTGAGGGGAAAGAAACGATGAACAAAAGAGAGAGGTAAATTTATAAAAAAAGTAAGTGCAGAATTTTGTTTGTTTTCTATCAAAAACAATGGAATTTTTTGAAAAAAAATAAGATCTTGTTCCTTTATCTGACAGACAAGAGAAATGTAGCGAAAACAAAACCAAGGACAACACAACATCAATCGACTAGCATAAATAAAAGAAAAAAAAATTATCGGATTATAACGGGGAGACTACATTCATCGATAAAATAACAGCATTAACTAGCAAAAGCCGTGAGTTGTCTGACTTGTGCTCTATCAGCTATTAAGCAGAGGAAAATCAACAAGATTCTAACAAAAAAAAGAACAGAAAACGAAAACCGTCTTTATCGAATGAAATTTGCAGTATGGCCCGTTTGTGTACTGTCATTGGATTTTACTGTCGCCGTTACGATTTGACTATTCTAAAATGCAACAACTTCAATAATTATGCGTAAAACATTTAAAAAGCCTAACACTGAGTTTTTGATCAATCAGCAAGACTTTGAATGTATAGATAATCCTTGTTTCTATTGTAAAACCCGAAATAGTTTGACTTTTTACTAATTTTTGTAGCACATTTTAAACATAAAACCTAGACTATTCATTACACAACTGTTTAAAAAGTATTAATTCACTTTGTCGTCTCAGTACAATTGAGTGACAACATAATTTTGTTGTTCAGACAGGGATAACTAGTTACATCATAGACGGCATGTCAAAATCTAGTGAAATTTCTGTGTTAACATAATCTTGGTTTATGCTTTAATCTTGAGGCAGAACGAAATCGAGAATATAAATTCTCATTACATCTTCTGAAACTTAAACTACCAAACCCCAATTAATCCTTGCACGAAGCTAGGATCGAACACACGAACTTGATCTTTGCAGACGAACTGCAAAAATCAACTTCGCTGTTCATTCCTATATTCTGCAAAATGATCTTTTCCGAGCAAAGAATTTTCAACAAATTCTCTCTCAGTTAAGAATAAAAAGCTCACTTGCGAGCATCTCATGGAAGCAAGAACGTTCTTTAAGAAGTATATTAATGCAGATGACTAAATGGGAAAACAAAAATGAAACAACACACATACTTATTTATTTTCTGTTGTATCTAACTTATTTTCTTTATCAGACGTTGTTTGTTCATGATTATCGTTGTTTCTTGGGTACTGATTATCATCATCAGCTGTTTGTTTGGCTACATACAATGATGGATCAATTTGTCTTGGAATTGGTTGAATTTCTGTACCTAATTCTCGTTCAATTTGATGTACTGCATATCGATCATCATATGTGATAAGACTGATAGCAATACCATAATGACCAAAACGACCAGATCGACCAATACGATGAAGATAAGTTTCAGATAATTTCGGAAAATCAAAATTAATCACAACATTAACAGCTTGAATATCGATACCACGTGTAAACAAATCAGAACACACCAAATTTCGACATAAACCATTTCGAAAGTCATGAAAAACACGATTACGATGTTCCTGACGCATTTTTGAATGAATATAATAACATGAATAACCCAGTTCCTTAAATAATCAAACATGAGAATTATGACAAGACTGATATGTGTCATAAATGGTAGAAAGATCTAACACTAAGATCTACAATAAACAAGCAACATACAGTTATTTTCTTAGCCAATAGTTCGACACGTTGAGTTGAATTGCAGAATATGATTGACTGATTGATTTGTAATTTTGAAAATAAGGTGTTTAAACAATGAACCTTTTGTTTTTCTTGGACGAAAGCGTAATACTGAGTTATACCTAGAACATAAAAGAAAGAAAATGTGAAAAAAGATACGACAAAACATGTTAAAGAAATAGAGCGGCTTCTGTGACACCTGAAACAATGTTGCACTAAAGTTAATGGTACACCACAATAAATAAACTTTATTTTGCTTGAAATTTGAGACGATGTCAATCCTTATCGGCCATAAGAAAGTTCCACTAAGGTTTCTGACAAGAATTGTGGTATGTATAAACAACCGTTAACCGTTACCTTTCAATGTTAATTCATTCATTAAATTGATTTCATAAGGATTTTTCATATGTTTTCGGATGAATTGTTCAACAACAACCGGAAATGTAGCTGAGAATAACATCACTTGTCGTTCACGTGGCAAATATGATATCATTTCATCAAGCATTATTTGAAAATCTTGTGATAATAAACGATCAGCTTCATCCAATACAAAACAACTACATTGACTAAAATCAATAATATTTTTATGCAATAAATCTAAAATACGGCCAGGTGTTCCAATCATTATGTGACAGGTTGTTTCATAAATACGAGCAATGTCATCTCTTAGATTTATACCACCTAAAAACTCAAGAGGAGAAAAGTGTCGATATGGATATCTTAGAAGAGCTTTAGATTCTTACCTGTTGTAACCATAATACGTAAATTAAGGTGTTTTGACAATTCCATACATATGGCACTCGTTTGTAAGGCTAGTTCACGTGTTGGTACTAATATTGCTGCTTGAATGGTATTTTTTTCTGGATTTATACGTTCAATAATTGGTATTACATATGCGCCTGTTTTTCCCGTACCATTTTTTGCACGTGCAATAACATCTCGACCTAACATAAGAAGCCAAGTAAGATAAAATAAAGCAAACATAGATGAGATATGTTCCTTACCACTCAATGAAATTGGAATGGAACTTTCTTGTATGGGTGACGGTTTTTCCCAGCCTTTTTCATAAATGCCCATTAATAATTCACGTTTTAAACAATAACTTGAAAATTCGTGACCTTGTGTTTTTGTTACATCTTCTGTTTGTGGACGATGGTCCTTTGGTGGTAGTTTTAATTTTGCTTTCCAATTTTGATCATCATCAGTAATACCATTCAATTTAACATGATTTTCATTTGATAATGATAAACTTTTTATCGTATCGTTACCATCATTTGCATTTGTCATACTGGCTGCTATAGGTGTTAACATGTTCAATCTTGTTTTTACAGTGTTAGTCACGTTTTTATCTGAAAGAGAATTAAAGAGGTGAAACTAGGATTTGTTTAAGATAGATGAATTGTTGTTTCTTTTTTCCAATAATTGCAAAAATAGAAAGTTTGCCACTAGCCCGAAATATACTATACTATAGATTATAAACATGCTCTCGTTCATTTTTTCCTCTAGTAGAATAAAGTAGATTTCAAAATACTTCAAGAACAAAACCAATAACTGATAAAAAGTCCTGCTGCTCATGAGAAATAGATAGACACTGCACAAACAGGTCTTCTTTACAGGACTTACTTTTATATGCTAAATCAAATTCAACTGAAATATACTATTTTGCCGTCTAAGTATGAAAGAAAATGATAAAAGAAATTTCAATGAACAACGACAGCGATCAGCTGTCTTTTCTATTATTGTTGATGAATAAAGAGGTTGGAAATTCGGTCGTCGAGAAAATTCTGAGGACGTCAACAGCGTTTTTTAAAGTAGTTAAGACTTTTTTTCTAAAATTTAAATTTAAAACTAAAATTTTATTTTTCTAAAAAATACTCTACGCATTTATGCACTATGTATTTTCGCCTTATTTTCGTGTATTAAAGGGAATTGCCTCAGAAACAACGAAGCCTATGGTAAACGCACTCATGGCGTCATCCCAAAAAATGTTTTTATCGAGATAGAAAGACGCAAACGTCGATTTGGAATAATATTTTTCAACATAGACATAGACAGCATTAAAAAAATGCTAACGTTAGAGGGAACCGTTGTGCTATTTTTCCGATGAAACAACCTTTTTTAGAATATTTTCTTCCGCTTTCACTCGTTTCTTAAAAAAGTTAGCGAGTTAAAACAAGTTTTAGAGAGATTAAAGGGTGACTCAGAAGTCCTGTCTCGATTTAAGCAATATTTTTATTGTTTAAATCGAGACAGGACTTCTGAGTCACCCTTTATGTGTTGATGAAGTACCTCCGAAATTTAGATTAAGAACCCAAATAGAATGAACTGCATATCTTTCTTAGTGCCTGAGAGAGTAGAAAGAGAGGAAGAACAGAGATTAAGTAAATAGTAAACGATAACGAGTTATATATTCTTTACAATACCACTACTGATATTGCTCTAATTTTTGACAAATGTCAATGGATTTTCATCAATCATAAAAGCTTCAGGTTTCTCTAGTGAAACTTCTTGTACCCAAAATGTTGCTCATGATCTTGGGTTAGGAAATGCCCAAAGATCTTGGAAAAGCTCAAAAAGTCAAGATCTTCATGAACCTACTCAAAATGTTTCAAGACTTTCGAATCAAGACGTTTCACTAGGGTAAAAACATTCCAATTCCATGTTTTGAATTCGATCTAGAATCGATAATATCGTCGAAAGTGGTCAGCATTGTCATCTATATTTTATTACACGAGTTACATGTGCAAAATGAAATTTTAAACATAGATAGTCTTGACAATTGAATTTGTTAAATTTGAACAATTTGTAAACATTAATTTCTTGATCATTGAAATGTTTTATTAAATATATTGCGTATTATTTTATTAAATTTAATATACTCATATTACTTAGCATATAATAGTTAAAATACTGTAAAATAACATCAGGATATAATTACACGATACTAATAGAATTAAAGAACATTTATCCTCTCTTATGTTATATATATTCTATTAAAAATGATAACTTTTAATGTCCAAAGATGTTAAAAAGTAGTAGACTATTTTTTTATATCGTTTTAGATATAGTTTGCTTTTCGTTTCCTCAATTCATTAGACAGTACCAACAATAACGATGGCGGCAGCTGTTTTTTTGCCACCGATTAGTCCTAATGCAAAAACTACAAAATATCCATCATCACCTCGTTCATCTGAAATAAAACATATTCGTCTTCAATTAGATCCATTACGATTACATGAGCCAGCACGCACAAAATTATCAACGTTAGAAACACAACGTATCATGGTAGTATTCGATGATCTTGTTAGAAAAATAGAATTAGTCAGGTATCTACCGATTATTTTTAATCATATGGAATTATTTAAAAGTCTACTCGACCAGTAAGTTATATCATTATCATTCTCTCATTGATTAACATGCAACTTATATCTTTAAAAAATTTACAGAAATACAATAGCTGAAATTGATCGTCACAATCGATTAAAAATAGCCTATGAAAGTGGTCGTAGTTTAAAATCAATTTCCAATATTTTAGGTAAGTTTTAACCGATTTTATTAATAATTTAAAATAAAAAGTCTACTAATAAACTTATTAGAATCATTGCCACAATATGAAAATTATTCTAAACGTCTTGGATTGACAACATCTCAACAACAAACAGAAAAAGCTGCTTATCAATATTATGTTCAACAATCAATACGAAATATTGTAAGAAATATTTTACATAACAATCAATTTGATATAATCAAACAAACATTAGCGTCTAACAATCTGTTACCAGAAGAAAAAGATGTCATGAGTAAGATGTCTAATATTTATGAGTATAAAGTGTACGATTAATACGATGTTTTTTTATTTTTAAGAAATTTTAAAAACACTGAAAGAAAATGCAATGGAACGTTTTTTAACCACACCAAATGAAGAACGTGAAAAGGTGGAAGAAATAAGAAATTTAAATGATCGATTAATATCAAATGAAGGAGTTATACGAAAACTAGAGAAAGAACTAAACGATGCCATTCAAGAACGTGATACCGAGGTAAGAAATGTTACTTTAGACGATATTTTATTCTATGACTTTGATTTTATTAATTTATGGAGTGTACAGTATGTTTATTAATTGCCAAATATTTTAGATTCTGTTAAAATATTGTAAGGAATTATTCTCTAAAAAAGAGGTTCTCTATCGAATCTTTAAATATTTATACTTTTTAGCGAAATCAAAATCTTTAAAAGTAAAAAACTCGTGTTTTTTATTAAAAAAAGTTTTCGTATAGACGAAATCCATTAAAGTAAAATTCAACCAATTAAAATTCTTCAATATCCGTAATTCTTGCGTCGATCAGAATGGAGAAACGGGTGCTTATCCCCACAATAGTAAAACTCTTCGAGATGATAGAATCTTAGTTATAAGTATGTAGTTTTATAGAATTTCATCGAACTGATCATTTTTCGTAATAAGTGCTGTCATCAATAGTTCATTTCCACAACAATACAGACTTTTTTTCTAGATAGAGTTATGACGAGTGTACAGGTTAAAGATGTTTGAAACTTTTTTCAATTTACGTTAAAGAAGTAAAAGTAAATCCTTATACGCAGAAAGACAGTAATTTTAATTATTCATAAACTTCCTACATAAGAAATGTTTTTGTTATTTTTCCTTTTTGAGATGCACGGTGAAAAAAAGAATATCATTTAGTAAAAGGATACATATAGATTAAAATGTTTATAGCAACACATCTTTGGACGGAATCTCAAAAACACTTAGGAATGGTACTTCTCGCTTTATTTCACTTTGCTAAAAAGACTGAAGTTCAAAACACAACCAGACCGAGAACAGATATCTCAGTGGTGAACGTTATGAAGATGCAGAGGCATCTTAGCCAACCTCCAAATAGATGAAAGGAAATATAAGAAACATACAAGCTAAGGATTAAGACATGCAATTACAATATTATTAGGCCACAGAAGCTTACACAAAAAGCTTTTACTATTGCCAGCGGAAAATAAAATGAATGTTATGAAATAAAACCTAAACAGATTTCGTACGTATCTATGAAATCTTTTTGATTATCCAAACTGAATACGAAACTCATAGAGAATTCGAAAAAAACCGCAAAATTAAAATTTTAGAAATGGCTGATGAAACCGTTGTATCATAAGGAACTATTTTTTTTTATGGACTACCTAATGTGATAATTAGATCTAGTAAACATACGTAAAATATATCTTGTTTTTTTATGTCATTTTTTAATCCATTAAGGTACCCCCTTCTCAGAAATGTCAATTTTTGTTAGACAGACATATCGTTTTTTAGATAAATACATGTCTTTATACCCCCAAAGTAAACTAACTAAGTTCTATGCCTTGGATTATTGTTTTTGATAGTTTTTAGGGAACATTTCTTCACACCCTATCGTAAAAAAAGCCGAATTTTTTATTGTTTGTATTTTTATAAATTTTACCTCGCTGTAGGGTTTCAACCCTGCCGAGTTCGATGCACATGTGTGCGTCTATGTGTAGACATCTTTTCCCTAGAAAATATCACTTTTTTTCCTACAAACACACGATATATAGGTTATTTATGATGGAGAATTCAATCGTAATGTTTTCAGACATGCATAACAGTTTCTAGATCTCAAAATATTATATTTGCCACAATATAATAATGCAATGTTATCATAATGAAAATCAAATTTTTTACATGCATAATGATTAATAGATAAGTGCCAACATTTATACTATATGCTCGTTTAATGTTCATTATTTTCGCAGTTTTTTTATTATCATAAATAGATAAATCATCATAAAGAGATAAATAATAACATCGACCAGAACGACGAAAACAGCAGCGTCGTTATTCGAGCAAATATAATATTTTGCAACCTGGGATTTTAGTTGATGTGCATGTCTGAAAACGTTACGATTGAATTCTCCATCACAAATAGCCTATATATACAGTGTTTTTAGGAAAAAAAGTGATATTGTTGTGATGTCTACACATACACGCACACGTGTGTATCGAATTCGACACATGTGGCTAGAGGCTAACAGAACCCCATTTTTTATATTCGATCTAGATTTGTGGTTAGAGAAATATCTTTGTGTAAGTTAATGTAACTTTTTTGAATCTGTGACTTTTGACCTTCACCATTATTCAGAAAAAAAATATTCAAAAATCGAGCTATGTTAGCCACTAGCCACATGTATTTTCGTCATTTTATGACCTTCCCGAGCTGTACACCATGTTTCGTTACTGAGACATCGTGCAGCTACAAATAGTCCCATGTTGACATCTCATTGAGCAACATCTCCAAAACGGTGATAGACGGCATCTCAATGTTAGTGTGTGTGTATAATCACAAGGTCAACATTATCTGAAAGTTTGGTTGAGATTAAACTTACAGTTACCGAGATGTGTTTATGAGAAGGAGAGCCTTAAGTTGATTTTGAATGGATGATAGCAGGTGCAGGATTAACGATACTGAAAAATTTAATGAGTTATCTCACGTAGCGAATATGAGAGAATCGTATATTATTAATTGATAGTGTTTGCTTTACAACGTGTAATGAGAGAGTAATTGCTTTGATCTACCTGAAATAGATACTAATCTAGAAGTGTTCATATTATTATACATATGTTATATTTTGTGATATGTTCGATGTATGTATACATTTCTAATTTATAATCTATGGATAATGAGAAAACGTAACTTTACAGCCAACTGTTATGCCATATAAATTCATACTTTTGCTGGATGGTCCATAACACGTACGTATATTGTTCTTGCTACTTCTCTATGCAATTTTCACTGTTAATTGGATATGTTCAAATATTGTTCATTTAATGAATTTTGACACGTTATTATTTGATTTGTATTTAAGATACTATTGAATTCATAGTTAAATCGACTTATTTCCAGTTTGCAAGCTAATTGACTTCTTATATATTTTTCAATGTCCAATTTTGCAAGCCAAGTAAATTAACAAATTCTAAAATCAAAGATTCTTTTGTTCTATAAGTAGTCACATTTAGAGCTGTCGGTCAGACTTTGAGATGGGTGTGGGAGGGGGCGGGGGAACTTATCGATTTGAGGACTTTTTTTGAAAAACTGGAATTTCTTTTTGCAAATATTTTACAAAAAGGAATTTTGTTCGAGGATTATGTCTAAAACTTTCTTTGACAAACTTTTTCTGTCGAGGAAAAATTTTCCAATCTCACGGGTAGATTCTGCATCTCTTCTGACAAAACGGTGAATAAATAGAAAGGGTGCTCACCGTTGGCAATGTATAAGGTAAGTTCATCATTACAGGAAAAACTGTTTTGTCAATTAGTAAGGATTGTTTCAGACGCTGATTTCGATTTATGTGTAGCCAAAACAGCATTAACTATTGATGAAATAGAATTTTAAGATTATCTTTATCATGTAAGACGCATAGCGTATAAGTATATTTTTGAGGTTGGTGGAAAAAAGGACGTTTAAAATTATGTTATGTCAACACTCTTCTTTAATATTATATCTTAATTGTACTTTTTTTGCCTATTAATAACTTATAGAACGAAAGAATCTATATTTTTTTCATTCATGTTTTGGGTTGCAAAATGAGATATTGAAAAATAAATAAAAAGTCAATTAGCTTTCAAACTGGGAAGATACTGTTAAATCATACAGAAGGTCTATAATAAAAATTATCATTTTCCATTATATATTTACTACAGAGATAAAATAGCTATCTAGTACTTGCTATTTTACATATATTGTCAATTCTGTTATTGTTTTTTCTTTGACTTTCTTAGTGTATTAGAATAAGAATTATGGATTACAATATAGAATACTGATGTATAATCTATCATTGCTGTCTATAAAACCTAATGAATACAAATAATAAATGAATGACAGTTGGCCCATAGTTGTGTTGAATACAAATATTAAAAAAACAACGTTAGGGCATTGTATTTTATATGTATTAAAAGATAGTTTATATATCTTAATACATAAATACAATTTTTTTCAAAAGTATTTCTTTTGAGAGATAGAGAAAACATTCTAACATCATAATGTATGTATAGTTCAAGCACAATTAGTGACAAAAGATAAAGTTCAGCCACATTTTCATACTAATTTTAAGTGTATCCTTCCGACTAAAGGTTAACCAATATATTCAATCATCTTTCAAAGTTGAATTGAATAATTTTGTTTCTAAGATATAAATTTTATTTTACAACAAATAGAAATAGTACAAAATGCATATTTATCAAAGACTAAACATTGACAACATTTAATCATTCAAAAATGAGTACAATTATATAGTAAAACAATAGTGATACTTGATTATAATTGATGATTTGTCTATATTATCCATTTGTTTATTTTAATAAGGGTATATCGGTATCAGTATCAATTTGTTGTCCACTCATTGTTGTTACATTAACATGTGGTTGTGGTTCAGTTTCTGTTATTTGTTCATGCTTTTTCTGATAAGTATTTTGAAGTCGACGTCGTTCTAGCCAATCAATCAATTTCATTATCGGGTATATAATAGCATAAACAATTATTCGAACAATAATGACACACAATGGTAATAAGAGTGAGATAAATGTTAAATTAAATAAATTTGAATATAAATTCCATTGTTTCACCAATAACAACAAAGTATGAATAAAACCCAGTAGGAATGCCAATGGTCCCACATATGATACGATAATACGCCATTCATTCCATAATAATCGTTCATTTGTCCATGGTGTGTAAACAATTGCCAATATACTCAATAAAATTATTGCAATAACACCAATGAAGAATGACGGTATGTGCCAATGATTTTGAGAAAAATTTTCTTGTGAAAATATAAGAAATAACAGATGTAATAGAGCAAATGTAAGTGAATACCAAGCTAAGTAACGTCTTGAATGTAGCCAACGTTGAACAAAATTTAAATAACCAAAACCATTGAATGAAGTAATTGATTTTTCATGTTGTACTATTTTTTTACGACTAATTCTACGTTGTTGAGAGAATAAAAAATCAATTAATTCTAATATTGGACGTATTAAATAGAGTATGGCTAATAAATTTAGGCTAACTGTTCCAGTGACAGAACTTGCCTTACGAAATATGATCGATGTATGATTATTATTCGAAAAGAAAAAATCTCTTGTTCGTTTTATGGCATTTAAATTATATTGATTTGCCTCCTCATAACGACTACATTGAATAACTACTACTAACAAGGCTAAACCAAATACTAATAATGTTGTTATTAATGGAAATACACAGCCATGAAATGAACGTTGATTTAATATATTATTATAATCATATTCATTCATTATACGAGTACCAGAAAAATTAAGATCATGAATAAATTTCAATAAACGCTGAAAGGTTGTTGATGATACATCCGGTTGTTGTTGAATATAGACAGGTGCATGCCGAAATGTACCATGTTCAATTTCCCATGTCGATATATTACCAAATGCACGTATTACAGACGTTGTACGGGATTGATTTAAAAAGAATGTTTTTGTTGATGATGTTTGTTGTTCTGAATGTTTATTAAATAAGAATCGTCGTTTTAATCCATAATCAATTGAGTCAATAACTAATTTTCCATCAATTAAATGTTGAATATCTCCGTGTGGTTGTTCAGCTATAATAACAATTGGAGCAGTTTGAATTGATTGACGAAATGCATTATTTGGTACATATTGAATATGATCTGTAGCATCACTTTTGATTAATGTGGTATTTTCATTAGTATCGGTCAATATGGGACTAAAACCATAACGTACTAAACGTTTAGCAAATGCAATTGTACGTTTATTTCGATATCCAATTAAACCGATTGTACGTTCTTCATTCGAATTATCATAAACAGATATTAATGATTTTTGTTCAGATCGATTATTTCCACTTCTGATCATATCATCAGATACTGTAGATAATACGGATGATAAAATTGTACCTGCCATATTATCGGCAAAATCTATTTGAGAAAAACAATATTTCTAATAAAAAATAGGTGTATTATTATTTTATTAAACTCACTTGATCTAGTTGAATTTTCTTGATGAACGGGTATATTTATCACACACTGTTGATTTTCTTCGTCTTCATCATGTCTTGCTGTAGTCATTGTTGAATGATCAATGTTATGTCTAATGATTTCAGACGGTGTATAATTGTAATGATAAGATGAAGGATTCATCTAAACTAATATATTTAACCGCACATATATACTGAACCCAATCATTAAATGGCTTATCAACTATTGTTCTCTTCCGTGTTGAATATCATCTTTTTACTCTATAATCTCTAGAAATTAATGTTTTTTTTTGTTCTCATGTGTATAGATATTTCTTTTTTTTTCTTCTCCTTCTTCCCTTTGCACTGCTACTGCTATCAAGAGATATAAAAAAAAAAAATCTAATCATTTTCACACTGACATATATTAGATGAGTACAATACTTGCTCTGTAGCGAGTTAGAGAAAGAGTTCGTTCTTTGAATGTACTAGAGAAAGAAAGAATTTTCTCGAAAGTAAACGTTTGTGCTATAGAAGAAGAAAATAATTCTAGAAAAGAGACACTTTCAAAAAGATATATATATAGTCTAGATATTATGAAAGTAGATTCTACATTTATTTTCTAATCTAAAAAGAAAATTCTAATTATAAATTTTATTAGAGCACGTTCTGTATATCTATAGTTTCCGTATGTAAATGAAAAAATACAACGATACACATCAAAACAGGAGCTTTTTTTTTTTCAAAAAAAATTTTCACTCTATAGAGACTTGTTTTTTTTTTCCAGTATAATAGACATTCGAGTAGAGTCATACAATGAAGAAATTGGTTTTGAACTTGTCCTCTTCGTCTTTTTCTTCTTTTTTTTTTTGTTCATGAAATTTTGATATCCGCTTAGCATCTGTTCATATATAAAAGAGATGCCTCACAGCAAACTAATGTGATAAAACAACGGAAAAAGAAGAATCCGTTCAGACATTAAATTAAACACGTTTGTAACATCATATTCTTTGTTCTTCTATTTAATAAAAGTCATTTTCATTTTAAAAATATTCTTGTATTAAACTTGTTGTAAGATATTCACACACACATACACATCTCAGTATAATATTACAGTCCTAAAACGACAATTTTTTTCATATAAAGAGAAAAATACTGTTACGGGTATTTAGATACTCTAGAAGGTTCAATTAACAGATGTTGTGTACTACTCATATAAACATATCCAAAAAGAAAAATGGCTTTGCTTTGGTTTTCAAAACCATTATGCCATATTCGACATAATGCATCTTGTCATATACATAATGGAAGAAGACACTCATATGCTATATTATTTTGAACAAGTAATTAATGATAGATGTGGTACTTTTATGGCATACATACACTTAGTGTTTTTAGAAATACTATTTATAGAGAATATGTCACAATTCTGAAAACTGATTAGAACTTTGTGAAACTTTATAACTTGATTTATATATCTATTTCATAGCCCTCTGTTTATTAACCAGAGTTACTGTAAACACTCAAATATGATCCTTCCAGTGATTTATATAGATTAGGAGGAGCTAATAAATATTTCGAGAAAGATACTGTCGAAAATGCTATGTTTTTGCTAAATAAGTCGTTTATTTCTGACATGGCAAACTAAAAAGTTGCTCATCCGGTCTTTCCACTAGATAAATTACTGAATACTTCGACTATAGAACTTATTCAATTAATTCTTTCTGTTGTAATTAAATCATGGGAACTCCTAGCATCTGTTTCGTTCGCGTGAATAAAATTATATTTTCTTAGTATTAAATTCATATTCGCATCTGTCAGCTCATCTATTTGACAAACATTGTACATCATTACTGTATACTGAATCTACTCAGAAACAATGATTACCTTGGAGAAAAAAAGAAAATGAGAGAAGTGTGACTCTGTCATGATTCTATGTTTGTTGTGTAAAGAATAAGACATTTTTCGTATCCCAATGTACAATCAATTTTGGCTTGTAGAATAGTGAGATGTTTTATAACGAAGACAAAAGAAGTTGTTTCGTTATGTATTCAAAGTTGCTTGACATAAATATAAAGATAAGCTGTTACAGAAAGCATATAGTTTGCATGTAGTATACAGATTGTTAAGTAAACCATTAAAGCTGCTTGAGGCATTTTGATCCATACATTAAAAGCAACATAAAAAAATCTATAAACATGTCAAAGAACAACGCTAGCAATCAGTTATGTTCTCTAAAACGTCGAATTTCTTAAATACTGGTTAATTATCAACATTAGCGTTTAGTTATTATCATGCACAACAAAAACAGCGCATAAATACTACTAAAATCATTTGTATCATCAACACTATCAACTACGATGGATAGTACGAATAAGAATAAAACAACAGCTAAAACAACTTCATTACAATTACAAACACAATTATCAACGATGTTCAAGTGTTACAGACTGAATAATGATAATTCAACTCAATTAAGATTTTTTGTAACATATCGTACATTCTACACACGCAAAAGAACAACATACTTTCCTGTAGAAAGAAATTATATTTCTTATCATTCTTCTTCTCTTGTGAACCAGAAGAAACAGAAACAATCCTTAATCAAGCCTTTTTCATATGTCTTCTTCTATTTAGTTTTCATCATAAATAATTTAAAATTTCTCTTCTGGTACAAGAAATCAATGTTATCTACTCATAAAATACAGTTCTCCAGTAAAAATGCTAAGTTTGTAGACTTCTTGAAAACGCATCACGCGTGCATTTTCACTGGACTAGAAATATCCTATTATCGACGCCAAAATGCGGGTGGCACTCAGTTATTTTTCGAATAACTCAATGATAACAGATGATAGAAACTTGCGATTTTCAAAAATCAAACGAGGATACCTGAAGCTATGTGTTCACAAGCAAAGTTGCTTTCCGAAATTATTGAAAGATCGGTTTTCTAGAAGATCTTTGGAAAACTAGCTAAGATCTCTAGAAACTGAC